ACCCAAGGTTGATGCTTCCAAGTCTGAGACGATCTTCGAATACTTTGTAAACACTTCTGGTGAGCTATATGATAACCGAGGACCAATGCACTTTTTAAACATAAAACTGCCTACTATTTATTTAAAAGTACGAAGTGCAAAATTTGGTTCAATTACTTTGGAGTCTACGCCAAGCACCGTCAGGTCCATTAAGATGGCCTACGCTAAGGCTCTGTATAAACAATTTCATTTTTTCCAGGTAACTGGGTTCATTGGTCCAGCGTCCTCGATCCCTACAACTATCCAAAAGATAGTGACCCTGAATTCTCCAGTATTCTGGTGCCCAACGTAGATAATATCAGAACGGACTATCTCATAAAATTGGTTGGTAAACAGGAAAAGGCCGTACTACTGACTGGTGAGCCCGGAACTGCCAAAACAGTAATGTTGTCCAACTACATGGCAGTCTTCAGCAAGGAGACGCATACAAACAAGTCGTTCAACTTCTCTTCCGCCACCACACCGGCTCTCTTCCAGGTAAAATGCCCGTCCAAACTGAGCCGTTGTACACTTTCGCGTTGTTAGTCCCCCGGCGTCCCAGCGTTTGTAATTTCCCTTTCAGCGCACCATTGAGAGCTTCGTCGAGAAGAGGGTTGGTACCACCTTCGGCCCACCGGGTGGCAAGAAGATGATATGCTTTGTTGACGACATCAGCATGCCGTTAGTCAATGAGTGGGGAGATCAAGTGGCCAATGAGATTGTTCGGCAGGCCATGGAGATGCATGGCTTCTACAGTCTTGAGAAACCTGGTGAATTTACTACCATCGTGGATGTTCAGGTAATCATCTTAGAGTAGTGCTTTTTTGCTCTTCTGTAGTTGTACTCGGCTTATAATATAGTCCTGAGCTCATGAGCTTCACGACATTTGACTTTCTGATGGCACCCTCAAAGGCGGTGGGTCCGAATGTAATGGGTACTAAAAGGCAGAAGGCAGAATACAAGGGTCCGTATTTCATAGTGTGTGTGTGTGCCGTGAACAGCCTTTTGCGTCCAAATTATCTGTCGAAATGTGGTGCGGCAGGAAACAGGCTTCCCCAAATCAGAAGTCAAGGAAGACTGATGAGGCTGGACATTGTTTACTCTGACCAAAAGCTAAGAAAGAACTCTACAGAAGAGTGTTTCCCACTATCTTCC